ATTTACATACGCCGAAACCCAATATAGGCTGCTTAAAATAACACTGATGAACCTGTTTAGCGGTGTCGTCGAAATCGCATGCGAATGGGCTCAGTTTCGTGAACGACATGCACTCTGGAGATCACGCACTCCAGTTGGAGTAATTGAAGCAGATAACGAGGGTGTTTTTATGCTTCAAATTTACTGTTGATTTGTCCGTCGCTTTGTGGAAAGCAATGACTGTACATGAATTATTGTGTACGTAAGCCGACTATATTCGGAAAATTATGTGCGAAACCAGCCGGTCAATGTAGAGTGCTGCTGCTCTCACGGATTTTGACGTTGCAGATGACCTTCGCATACATTCGGGGGGCTTGGACTCGATCGGGCAAATATTTTTCGCTGGTGTCGAACCGTGTGTGCAGCGATCATTCGGCGATCTAACTATCCTCAGGAAAGTCGAATTCTGGCATAGGTAGTGTGGTGGTATCACGCACCAAGCAAATCGAAACATAATTTACAAAATTTGAAACCTAATATAGGCCGTCTGAATTTACACTGATTCCGCTGTTTAGCGCTGTCTTCGAAATCGCATGCGAATTGGCTCAGTTTCCAGCACGAAATGCACACTGGAGATCACGCACTCTAGATCGAGAAGTTCACACAAATCATGAGAGGGCTTTAGAGTTTCAAACTAACTGGTTGTTGACTCAGTCGCTTTGGGGAAAGCAATGAGAGTATATGAATAATTGTGCATGCAAGCCGACTAAATTGGGAAAATTATGTGTACAACCAGTCGATGAGGGTAGTTTGATGCCCTCATGGATTTCGGCGTTGCAGGTGGCCTTCGCATATATTCGGAGGGCTTCGACTCGATTGGGGAACTATTTGTCGCTGGTGTCGAACCGTGTACGCAGCGATTTTCCTGTGGTGCAAATATCATCCCCGAACTCAGGCATAATGCTGGAAAAAAATGGAGTGTTATCATTATCCAGATATATTGAAATATAATTTACAAATTTCGAAACCTAAAATACGCTCTAGAAATTCACACTGAGTCCAAAGTTTTTGCGCTGTCTTCGAAATCGCTCGCGAGTTGGCTCAGTTTACTGAACGAAATGCAATCTGGAGATCAGGCACTTCAGTTCCAGAAGCTCGCACAGATCATGAGGGTGTTTCTGTGTTTCAAACTTACTGGTTGTCGACACAGCCACTTTTGGGAAGCAATGAGTGCATATGAATAGTTGTGCATGCAAGCCGACTAAATTGGGAAAATTATGTGTACAACCAGTCGATGACGGTAGTGTGCCTGCCTCATGGATTACGGCGCTTCAGGTGAACTTCAGATACATTCGGCGGGCTTCGGCTCGATTGAGGAACTACTTGTCGCTAGTGTCGAACAGTGTGTGGAGCTTCTGATTGCTGAGCTGACGATCCTCACAAAGTCGCGTTCTGGCAGACGTAGGGTCGTGGTATCACGCCCGAAAATAACTGAAATATGATTTACAAACTTCGAAACCTAAAATACGCTATCCAAATTTACACTGATTCCGCTGTTTGCGCTGTCGTCGAAATCGCATGCGAATTGGCTCAGTTTCCTGAACGAAATGCACTCTGGAGATCACGCACTTTAGTTCGAGAAGCTCGCACAGATCATGAGAGTGTTTTTGTGTTTCAAAATTACTGGTTGTTGACTCAGCCGCTTTGGGGAAAGCAATGAGAGTATATGAATAATTGTGCATGTAAGCCGACTAAATTGGGAACATTATGTGTACAACCAGTCGATGACGGTAGTGTGCTGCCTCATGGATTTCGGCGTTGCAGGTGGCCTTCGCATACATTCGGCGGGCTTCGGCTCGATTGAGGAACTATTTGTCGGTGGTGGAGAACCGTGTGCGGAGCGGATAAATGTGGTGCAAAATTCGTCCACGAAATTATGCATTATGCCAGAAAAAATGGAGTGTTATCATTATCCAAATAAATTGAAATAAAATTTAAAACTTCGAAACCTAAAATACGCTGTCCAACTT